ATTTAATACACTTTTGTTGTTTTCAAGATTTTTTCAGAACGTTCTGGAAACAAAATGAACATACGTTTTATTTATATGCCTGAGCCGATTAGGTGGATTTTTTGATCGTGTAAACTTTTATCAAGAATAATATTGTTAAACGTTTTAAAATCGTTTATTTATTTGAATATTCAAAACTAATTGCTTATTTTTTGAATATTCAAAACTGTTTTTTCTTCTATTTTAACAAAAATGAAATAGTTTCTGAACAAGAAAGACCAGCCTTTACAAGTACTACGATAAATAGTATTAATATTTTTTTTTTTGAAAATAAAAGTTGTTTCACTTATTTGATAAAATCTACATTTAGAAAAAAAATTTAAACTTAATGTTTTTTAATAAAACATTGACGGATGTTTTAAAGTTTTGAGAATTTTGTACTTTTATCTATTTTTAGAGTTTGTTAAATTGTAATTTGCTCGCTCCATTTCAAAGCTTGATGGGGGTTTTAATAGTTCGTACTTATTACTTATTCGCAAAATTTAAATATAAATCGTGCTTTGTCGTAAATGATAAAATATAATTAAATTTTTTTATATATAGCTTATAAAAGATTATGTTTAATGATTAGAAACCTTTTAAAAACGTTATCTTTCTCGTTATATTTCAAAACATCAAAAAAACGCACTTTATTAAATACGTGAATATATACCTGCAAAATTTTAAGAAGTAATTTCTTTTTTAAATGTTTTTTGATATAATAACAGGTTTAATAATAAGATATAACAATCTCGTGTTTATTACAAATCTTTTCAAAGTATAGTTACTGCATGTCAAATCTTAGGATTTAAACTTTGGTAAAAGGATTTAAACTTTGGTAATAGGATTTGAACTTTGAGGTCAACCAAAAATTACTTTATTTGCTTAAAACTCTGTTGTCATAGTTTCTTATTAAAACTCTGTTGTCATAGTTTCTTATTAAATGCTTCTCCATTGTGTTTTGTGAAAAGATAATATTTTTTTTTATTAGAATTTGATGGTTGACGGTATCAAACGCTTTAGAAAAAATTTAAAAAAAAGTCAATAAATACTCCTAATATGAAATGAAAAAGATTCTGAGATGTTGCGTGTAAGTTGGAGTATAGCGTATGTATATTTTTTCACACAAAAAAAATCATAACAAAACAACGTACTAATAAAATTTACTCTTTTACTATTGCAACTTTTTTTTTTCATTATGCTACACGCAACGAATGAAATTTTTTTAAGTTATCGGAAAAATGATTTTTTTTTTTTTTTGAAAAGAACAAATTTATATCAAAATAAATTACAGTATAACATTTTTTGTTTATCATGGCTGAGAATTTAGAATAAAATAAAATCTGTGTTTAGCATAAAAATCTAATAACTAAATTAACTCAAAACCTTTAGAGCATCCACCAGTCAAGGATCCAGACTTAAAACAGCTAAAGTATTTCCTGTCTACATAACAGTAGACCATATAAACATAAATACATATCGCCCTATTTAAGTGCTTTCAGTTTTTTCAAAAATTCTTGAAAAAAATAATGAATAGTCGAGTTTACGACCATCTAAATAATAATGAAATCTTATACGAAAGCCAATTTGGTTTTAAAAAACACAATTCGAAAGAACACGCTATACTCCAACTTACAAGCAACATCTCAGAATCTTTTTCATTTCATATTAGGAGTATTTATTGACTTTTTTTTAAATTTATTCTAAAGCGTTTGATACCGTCAACCATCAAATTCTAATAAAAAAAATATTATTATATGTAATAAAAGATAACACCCTCAATTAGTTAAAAAGCTACTTAAAAATCTTAAGCAATATGTTTATAACAAAGAATCTTCGTCTCAAGAGTTAATTAATATAATGTGTGATGTTCCAGAAGGCTCCACATATTTAGACCTCTTCTCTTTATTATATTTCTAAATGATCTTCATAAAACTTTAGGCCTAACAAAAATAATTTTTGCAGACGACACAAATTTATTTCAATCTCGTTGTTGAAAAGAAGATTTTAATATTCTTTTCAACAACGTAACAAACGAATTAAAAAAAGTTTCTGTTTGGTTCAAAATAAATAGGTTATCTCTCAATACTGCTAAAACTAACCCAGTGGGCATTTCGACGTCGAACGAACGTCAAGCGACGTCGGATCTCGACGTCGGATTGACGTTGGGTTTACGTTGGAAATGGAAATGTTATTTGACGTCGGATAAACTGACATCGCGCGACGTCGGCATTCCGATGTAAATCCAACGTTTTTTTTGAAAACTAAAAAACGTTGCCAAAGGCAGGAATCGAACCACGGTCTATTAGTTAATAAATCCAACGCGCTTACCACTACACCACAGGAACATATAAATTAATGTGTTTATATAGTAATGTATAGTTGTAGCTATTTGGGAATTATTACTTTGATAAAAAATAATTTTGTTTAAATGTTATATAAATATTAAAACGAATAGTTATATATTATAAAAAATGTATACTCGAAAATGTTAATAGTTAAAAAACTATGCTAGTGCATCATACAAAACCTCATAATGTTTTATCAACCATTATTCAAACTTTTTTCCATTAATAAAAAAACACGCTTAGTTCACATAATTATTGAAGAGCGCAATTGCACACATATTGTTGGGTTTGGATTAAATTTTCATCAGCGATGTCATACGACGTTGTTCCGACGTCGTTTTAAGGTCGTTGTATTGACGTCGAAAGACGTCAAAAGACATTGGAGTACGTTAATATTATGACGTTGCCCGACGTTTTTTTATCGACGTTGGATCGATGTCAGTACTGCGACGTTTTTTGGACGTCTTTTATAAGATGTCGGAACAACGTCAAAATACATCGAAACGACGTCAGGGGATGTTGAGATAAAGACATCGCCCGACGTCACTTTACTGACATCGGAACAACGTCGGAATAGGTCTTTTGACATCGCTGATGAAAATCGTACGTAAATCCGACGTCGGATTGACGTCGGGTGCCCACTGGGAAATGGACACTTTTTTTATCCATTCTATAAAAAACATAGAATACTACATTTGTTACCTGAACTATAGATTGAGAATGTAATGATAAAAAGAGAAAAACAAAATTTCTAGGAATATATATTGATGAAAATTTAACTTAAAAACATCACAATAACTTTATCTCTTTCAGAGTTTCCAAATGCATTGGTATTTTTTATAATGCTAGAAACATACTATATAAACGGCAGGTGATTCAATCGTATTATTCATTTGTTCACTGTCATATAAACTATGGAAATATTATATGGGAAACACTCAATAGACAAAACTTAAAACTTTTTTTAACCATCAGAAACACGCAGCTGACGCATTTAATTATTACGCAATTAATTTAGAAATCGACTTACACACTCTGCGCCACTTCTTAAAGATATGAAAGCTTTGAATGTTTATCAACTTAATACTTTTAATATTTTATGCTCTATGTTCAAGTTTAAAAAAAATTTATCTCCACAAGTATTTCAATATCTTTATTCTTTAAAACCGAGAAACAAATATAATTTAGGAACTGACAACAATCTTAATGCTCTCTTTTGCAAAACTAAATACAACGAATTTTGTATGTCCTATCGTGGACCTCTTCTTTGGAACAAAATAGTTTTACCAAATTTTGACTTTTCAATGAAATTAAACTACTCTGCATTCAAAATCAAAACTCAAGAAACTATCTTTTCAGTTGAAAATATCTTTATTTATTTTTTAGTTTTTTTTATCATTATTGCTGGTATGTTAGATTTTATTGAAATAATGTTTTACTATTTACGAATATTTCCATGATTTCTTTGCAAACTTATATATTTAATGGATTTTATGTTTGCGTTTTATTGCTTTTCAATACTAAGTTTTGTTAAACTTTATAATATTATTTTTGTTATTTTGCAAATTTTAAAAACTAAAGTTAGACAACTTTTCAAAACTAAAGTTAGACAACGTCAGAAATATGCAATCCGTTTAATAAATTTTGCGGATCGATACACTCATTCCAAACCACTTTTTATCGAAATGAAAGTTCTCAATATTTATGAGGTTAATGAAAATTAAAAAATGACATATCTTTACTCGTTTTAAAATACCTCTTTTGTTGAAAACCACTAAATAAATATACACTTAAAAACAATAATTTTATATATGAGCTCTTTTGTGGAACCAAGTTTATTCAGTTTTGTATTGCACAACGTGCAATTATTTGGAATAAAATTGTTTTGGCCGATTTTCGACATGCATTTTACTTTTCCCATTTTCATATATAAGCTGAAAAATTTAATTATTTAATAGATGATGTAGTCAGATTTTTTTAATCGTAATTTTATATTTATATATTTTTAGAACTTTTATTGTTTATTACTTTTTATTTTGTTGATTATGCTTTGATGTAGTTTATACACACACGCTTGTAAAAGGTTCTGACAATAATATCAGTACGATCCTCTTTCAGAAACCTTGTTTGTGTTTGTGAAAGTAATTTATTTACAATGACAACAAATGTAAACTGAGAAAAAAAAAAAACTTATATTGTATTAAACTCGATACTAAAAAGCATGGTAAAGGGCTACTTGATAAGATACTCATAATCTTCTTGAAGTCCTGCTGCAAAATTTGTAATACATTATAATTTGTATTTTTATTATTATTTAGCAAACAAAAAAAGCAAAAAAAAAAGCATCTTTTACTTTTAAAACTATGAATTAAAGTTACAAAGAACATCTACTTTGATGATGAGAGAACATCAACTTTGATGACGAATGAACATCTACTTTGAAATACTGTCCTTTAGAGTTAATTTGAAAGTAATTTGCTCACTCCATACCAACACTCCACTGCGTTTTTTGAGCTTATTGTTCTTATTTAACAAAATTGTTCATATTTAATACACTTTTTAAGGTTTAATCCGTGCTTTGTTTATGTGAATTAAAAATATTAATTTAACTTTTTGTTTTAACAAATAAAAAACCATTTTTAATGATTACTGCTGCATTAAAATTTTACGCCTTCCTAAATATTTCAATAAAGGCATTGACAAAAAATTAATTTTTGCATATATCCGAAGATATGACAAAGTGAAGAAAAACATGAAAAATTAAACAAGTAATTTATTTTGTAAATAATGTTTATTAAAATAACAGATGTTTACGAATGATATATATAAATACATATACATAAATAAATATATATACATGTATATATATATATATATATATATATATATATATATATATATATATATATATATATATATATATATATATATATATATATATATATATATATATATATATATATATATATATATATATATATATATATATATATATATATATATATATATATATATACACATATATTCTTAGTGTGTTATTTGTAATGGTTATATCACTTAACTTTCTTGATATAACCATTACAAATAACACACTAAAAAAATATGAGTAAAAAGTATATCGAAAATCAATGAAATTGATTTTCGATATACTTTTGAGTTATAATTTGAGTTATAATTTGAATGTTAGTGATTGAGGCGATCACTAACATTTAAATTAAACCGCATTTAAATCACGATCCAAATATTTTAACAGCTATATTTAAAGGTTTTCTCCACAGAGCTTACTACATCTATAGTAAGTATCATTTGCAAAATGAAATAAATTTTTTAACTGACATGTTTGTTGAAAATGGGTACGATGAACAGCTATTGATGAATATTACACACCAATTTTATCAATTTATCAATAAAGACAAAATAAAAACACAAATCCATCAGAATACAATAACCTTCCTTTATTGTCTTTACCATGGGTACCAGGCTTTTCACCAAAACTTCGATAAATATTCCGAAAAGCAGGGTACAGAGCAGTATTTAAATCAAACCCAAATTTAAGATTTGGGTTTGATTTAAATACTTTACTAACATCAAAAAACAAATCAAAAATATCAAGTAACAGCCACCCTGGAACCTATATAATAAAATGCAAGTGCTCCAAGGTTTACATAGGTGAAACAAAAATGCAGGTAAATACGCGAATGCATCAACATCAGAAGAGCATTAATGAAAACAAAACTAATCAATCTGCATTAGCATATCATAAAACCTTTTGCAAAGAAAATATTATTTGGGAAAAAACAAGAACATTAAATGTAAAAAATAAAAAGTTCGAAAGAAAAATTAGAGAGGCACTAGAAATACAAAACAACATGTGCTCTGCATGAAACAGCGGAATTAATCTTGATAAAGGCCAATATGTAAAAACTATGTTTTGGACGCCATTTTTAAAAATTAAAAATCAAAAGAAGCCATGCAACGGCTGACTTCAATAGTAACAATTTTATATAAACTGTAACGAATAAAAAAATTATTGTAATATTTTACAAGCTGATGATGCTGGTATCCATTACCCAGCGAAAATATCTTACAAAATAAAATTATTAGTATTGAGAGAAACTGTATTTCTAGATGTTTTAAAATAATATAATATACTCTCATACAAGATGTCATCTTTCAAATATATATATATATATATATATATATATATATATATATATATATATATATATATATATATATATATATATATATATATATATATATTATATATATATATATATATATATATATATATATATATATATATATATATATATATATATATATATATATATATATATATAAATATATAAGTTATTTTTCGTTACTTTGACTTTTTAATTTTTAGTTTTTAAATTTTGATTATACTTTTTTCAAATTAAATTTGTTAATTTAGTTTAATACATCGATTTTAAATGAGTGAGGTCTTCTAAACTTTCGATTATATTTAATTTTTAACCGAATTGTTTACATAAATTAGCAGAACAAAATTTAAAGAGTTTAGATATTCTTGTAATAAATATTTTTTTGAGATTTTGTTTGAAATCTGGTAAAATAGATACTTTACTTTTAATTTGTCACACTTGATAATTGCGTAGTTAACATGAGTAGAAGAACATTGAATAGTAAAGCAGTATATTCTGATAGTATTTAACTTAAACGACGTATTCTAAAAGTAATAACTAAAATAACATATCCTAAAAGTAACAAATATTTTAAAAGCAGATAAAACTAGAATATATTTTAAAAGTTTAAATTTAACAGATTAACAATTTAACAGATTGAGCATAATAATCACCTGCTTATAATAAGGTTTTATAAAAAAGCCACCTTACTATGCGTCTGTAAATATTAAACTTACACGTTTTTTTATGAAGATATTATCTTGTCATTTGCATAATTTGCCTTATTTTTTTATAAGTTTATTGCCTTGATTAATTTTAGGCTTCTTCAACAAAATGAAAAATGATCTGTTTTGCGACTCTGTTAAAAACAAAGGTATATGTTTTTTTAGTCTAACATTTTTATTCATTTCTTTTTAATCTTTGAGCTCCTAACAGCGCACATCTTTGTAAATATCAAACTGAGTAAGAATATAGACTACATTTTAGGCAATATATAGTACATATAATTATATATAGTATATATAATTATATAGAGTATATATAATTAAATACACACATATATATATATATATATATATATATATATATATATATATATATATATATATATATATATATATATATATATATATATATATATATATATATATGTATATATATATATATATATATATATATATATATATATATATATATATATATATATACATATATATATATATATATATATATATATATATATATATATATTTATATATACATATATATATTTATATTCATATATATGTATATATAAATATATATATATCTATATATATATCTATATATATATATATATATATATATATATATATATATATATATATATATATATATATATATATATATATATTATATATATATATATATATATATATATATATATATATATATATATATATATATATATATATATATATATATATATATATATATATGTATATTTATTCTAATTTACTTAACAAAGTGCATCAACTAGAAGGTAAGTGGTAAAGCAACCTAAAATTAGTTCTCCGTTTCTAACTTCTTTCATATTCTTAATAGACGTCAATGTAAAGGTAATGTTATTGACAAAAATTGTTACTAATAGAATAACTACAACTATTATTGCATTAAAAATATAATAATATCGTAATATATTTAAAAGATATTTACTTTAAAAATGTAAACTACTATATATAATTATACATATAAATAAATAAAAAAATTTGAACATTCTCAATATCTAAAGAAGCTAATCTATTACATCTTTGTTTTTTATGATTATAGAGCACTTTTTGTAGCATACGCTAACAAAAATATATTAAATATATTAGAAAACTTAAAAAATTCACATGATGAGTGATTATCATGATTGATTTATTAGCATTTCACATTTTCTAAATTTTTTATTTTGTTTATTTTTTACATTTAAAGCCATAGCTAATTCAAAAGCAATATTAAACCAGTTGTAGTGATATAAATCAATACTAAATTTGTAATTAATTGTCAATTTCAAGATTCTGAAACTTGAGATATGTTTTATTGCCTATCTTGGAGTCTAATTAAAATATAATTAAAAAGGACGAAGTGGTAGCGCACTTGCCTCAGAAATAAAAGATCCGCGGTTCAAATCCCACCTCTGAACAAGTTTTGCGACATCGGTTAGGAAGGAGGCGTGAACTTCCGATTAAATGCTCTTCCGCGGTGCTCTGTGACAAGACCATAAGGACTTCTTGGGGCACCTAAATAAAACTGAAAAAAAAAATCTAAAAAATTCAATCCGTCAAATATTTGCTTAAACTTAAATTACATTAAAAGAAAATTCAAACATAAACAATGAAGAGTCTTCTGCTAAAATAAAATTATCCTGTTTTTGAAACCAACGAGTACAACAGACATTGATTAGCTTTGCTTTACCAACAGAAAGATAGTAGTTTAAATATGCATGTAATTTTCAATTAAAGGCGCAATTAAAAAATTAAGGACAGTCAGCAAACGTTAAAAAATTATTTCGAGTATTATAGTTATTGTCTATATATCTTATAATGATAGACTACTGTTTAAGATTGACACTATCAGATACTTTATTAGATAAAGTTGAATAGTATAAAATATACAAACAAAAATAAAAATCTCCTTAAAAACCATTCTACAACACTCCATAAGTTGATTTTGTGTGGTTTAAGAAATATTTGACATTTTTAGGGGTTAGTATTGATTGATCTTATAAGATAATGTCACCTTCATAAATTCCAAATTAAGTAGTTCAAAAATATTTCCCTCAACTTTTTTTTGAGGACTCTTTTATATTATTGGAGAGTCTCCTATATTGAATTACAGTTGATTCTAATGACATTCTAGACTTAACTTATACGATCTTTTTTTAATTAAAGCTTCGATTTTAAGAAATAAAAATGTAATATTTTAAATATTTACATTTATAGCAAAAAACAATAAAAATTGTTTATATAGGTCTGTGGCAAAACTATTAAATTTAGTAGTAACCTGTCTAATAAAATAAGAATGCTTTAATTAAATTGTTCTTATAGTTATAAGTATTTTATAACAAAAAGCACATAAACAGTTGTATGTGAGTTACGGTTAGAAAAATCATGTTATTTTTAAAAAATATAGATCGTAAAAACATAGTTACAAAATATATCTTAAAGCTACTAATCCCTGATCTTAATTCAAATATTTTAAAAAACATTTATATCCGTACATTTTTAAGCTAAAAGTTAACGATGAAATTATTATAAAGAAACTGGTGAGATATTTTAACCATTTTTTTTTTTAATAATTTTTTTTGCAACATTTTATGTTATGAATGTATCAGTTGCATTTGGAACAGTGTTTTTTCAAAACATATCTGCCATAACTACCAACTTACTAAGAAAATAACTAAGGCGCTTGGCTTTCTTGAATAGCTGGCATAAAAAGAAATAAGTACAACCACAAGGCAAAAGCAATCTAGCCACTGGCTACGACTTTTAACGGCATACCACTTTTCAATAAAAATATGTTACTTTAAAAAATTGATATTTTAGTCAGCCTATGCTTTAAAATCAGGTTGCTTGTGGCTAAGCCACAAACAACCTGATTATATAGCATAGGCTGTAACCGATCGGTTACAGCTTAGGCTGTAACCAATCTGCAACGACCGATCTTTTTCCGTTTTTTTTTTAATTTTAAGTAATTGCTTTTAAAGCCGATTTTACAAAGCAAATAAAAACAAGTATCATAATTAATTATATTATTTTCACTTTAAAAATATGTTGGAGTATTTTTTTTTTTTTATTTCGTTGATTATTTTAATGTGTAACCTAGCCACAACGGCTATACCAAAGGTCCGCGCCTGGTATGTATGTATGTATAAAAAAAAGTTGTCGATAAGTAATGTAAACATTCCACTTAATGATGAATTATTATATCGCTTTAGAATTTTTATATCGTCAAGGCCAAGAATAAGAGTTTCGAGGCCAAGACCTTTGCAAACATTTTCAATACCAAATATTTTTTTCAAGACCAAAGAGTTTTTTACTTACATTATAATGTAAGTAAAAAACTCTTTGGTCTTGAAAAAAATATGGCCTTAATATTAAGGCCTTTTATTACATTAAAGTTTTATTACATTAGATTTTTTTTTTTTTTTTTTTTGGTTTTGCGGCATTGAACGAGCAAGACGTGTTTCTCGAGCGATTAATAATTTAAAAAAATGGAGGTTATGATGAAAACTATAGAAAAACTTATAAACAGCAAACTTGATGAGCAAAAAAAAAGCATTTTAAAAGAAACTGCTATACTTTTAAAAAATCATGAAAAGATACTTACAGATATTTTAAGTGCGAACTTAAAAATAATAACAGATCGGATTGACAAACTTGAAAACGAATTTAATAAAAACAAATCGAAGGTTGTATTAATTGAAAAAGACATAAGTGATCTAAAGCAAAGTATTAACTTTCAGGAAGATATCTTCTTAAATAAAATATCACAAACAAACAGTCTGTTGAACAGCAATATTAGCAACTTAAAAAACAAGTTTATTTACTTGGAAAACCGTTCACGACAGAATAACCTAAGGGTTGATGGATTAACTGAGCTGCCCGCTGAAAATTGGTATGATTGTGCAAATGAGCTTAAAAATATATTTAGAATTAAGCTGGAAATCTCAGACGACATAATAATTGAAAGAGCTTATCGTATCGGAAAAGAAAAAGAAGATAAATCTCCGCGAACCTTAATTATCAAACTATTAGACTTCAAAAATAAAAATAAAATTCTAACATGAGCAAAAAAACTCAAGGGAACAGGAATTTTTATTAACGAAGATTACTCGAATGAAACAATGGAAGTAAGGAAAAAGCTTTGGGAGGAAGTCAAACGGCTACGCAAAGAAGGTAAATACGCTATAATTAAATATGATAAAATATTTGTAAGAGAATTTTGTAACTAAGAGAGTGGTTAGTAAAAAAAAAAAAAAAGAAAAAAAATCACAATCTTTGTAATTAAAAGTAGCAAACCGACAAAATGGCAAAGGATACAACAGATTTTGAAACCTATTACTCCGATTATTTTAAAACTTAAATAATATGTTGCATAACGACATTTACCACACGGGTAAAAAAATATTTAACGATAAATGTTTTAATACAGAATATTTGAAAATTGAAACTTTTAAAACCCAATTCAAGCAAACTAATGATTTCACAGTTATACACATAAACATAAGAAGTATTAACTCAAATATTGACAAATTGAAAAATTTTCTTTTAGAATGTAAGTTTTTTTTCAGCATGATTTGTCTCACCGAAACGTGGTGTACTGACAATTTTTCTCAAGAAAACTCAAATTTTCAAATTACTAACTACAACATGATTTCTTTTGAAAGAAAAATACTCAAAAGAGGAGGAGGAATTTTAGTTTATATTCGGAATGATCTTGAAAAAAAAATTAGAAACGACCTCTCATTCTCCGATGCCGACAATGAGGCCCTTACAATAAAGAATCAATAAAAATAAAAAAACATTTTAGTAACTACTTGTTACAGGCCACCTAAAGGCAATATTATCAAATTTTCTAACTATTTGAATCAGATAAACAATAACAATAAAAATAAAAATAACAATGAAAAAAAATACATATTTTGCATAGGAGACTTGAACATAGATTGTTTAAAATACAACAAAAACACCAACATTAAAATCTTCTTTGACAATTTATTTCAGCTCGGTATATTCTCACTAATTAACAAACCCACCCGAGTCACCTCAACCTCAATTACAGCCATAGATAATATATTGACCAACTCATCTTTAGACATATCCTTAAAAACAGGAATATTTAAAATTA